CCCCACCACCCTAACGGCGCGCCCCCGATGCTGCCCGCACAGCCCCCGCCGCCCAACTCGGGCTCATCCACTCCCGGTCAGGCTGGCTCTGCACCGCCCGAGTCCTCGAACGGCTCCTCTGCCAACGACGCCATCGATCTCACCTCTTCCCGCTCGCCTTCGCCCCGCCAGATCCACGCTCAGCGTCAGGCGACCCAAATAGACGCCCTCACCAACGGCTTCGCGACGCTTAATCCAAGTGCCGGCCAAGTCCCTTTGCCCGACTCGATGCTCCCCAAAACTCCCGTCTGCATCGGCCAACTGAACGTCACCGCACTCGTTACCTATCCCACCAACTACACACACTCGTCTCCCGGCGTCATTCCCGACTTGGACTGGGCGCCCGTGCGCCTGTACTACGATAAGGACACCAACATCTCTGGTCAGGACACGATCCATGTCACGACGCCCGCGATCAAAGGGACGCCGCAGTCCGCTCAGAAGTTCGCTGTCGTCGAATCCCGAGTGGCGCTCGTTCTGGGTCCCATGATGGGCAAAGGCTTGATTAGGCTGGATGGAAAGATCAAGCGCGGACATCCTGGTGTATGCAGCCCCCCAATGTCCGTACTATCGTGCAGCGCTAATCCGTCGCCGTCACCAGTTGCACATGTTGCCTATGGAGATGCTTGTTTTCACGCCCAAGGGCAACATTCCCATCGTCTCGCAGTACCTGAGAGCCAAGAACCTCTTGCTCGACCACCCACGACCACAGAAATGCAACTTCCCGTACTACAATCCACACAACCCTCCGCCGGAAGGTTGGGGTCAGCAGGGCCTGTTGTCGGCAGGTCAGAGCAGGTGGACGACGCAGGTTACAGGAAAGAGTGTGGAGGTACAGCGCAGTCAGGCCGAGGAGCTCTTCAAGAGCTTGCAGAGCGGGGATGAGCTACCAGAATATGCTGCACGTGAGTTTGCATGTTTTGTGTCGGCCGTGGAATCATCTCAACCCAATGTGGATGCGCAGCTTCCTGCATCAAAACGACTCTCTATCCGCACCAGAAAAAGGCATTGACATTCCTGCTGGAGCGCGAGCGCGAGATTCTCGGCGAGGATGGTCTCCGTTCTTCTCTCTGGCAGGAACGGTTGAATCCCATTACCGGCGAGAGGCATTGGTGCCACCTCGTCACACAGAAGGAGATATTCGAAGAGCCCAATGACTGCAAAGGCGCAATACTTGCGGACGATGTGCGCATCACACAGCCACATCTTCATTATGTCTATGTTTATGCCTTTGATACAGATGGGTCTCGGGAAGACCATTACCTGCGTTTCATTGATCGCCGCGACACTCGAGTCCGCGCAACGCTTCGAGAAGATGCCTCTGGACAAGATAGAGCCACCGGTGCCAGCAGCCGACTCTTCTCTGAGCGCGTCCGATTTTGCTGGGAGCGTGTACGGAATGCCCACAAATACGACGAAGGCCGCGCAGAAAGCCAAGGCGAAAGATGCCCGGGCTCAAGACGCTGCACAGAGCAAGTATGCTCGAGTATGCCGACTGAAGACGCGCAGCCGCGGCACGCTCATCATCTGTCCGCTATCGACTGTGTCGAACTGGGAGGACCAAATACGTGAACATTGGAAGGGGCCCGTCACTGTCGTCGGCGGTTCTGGCGCTTGTGGTGACACCTCTGTCAAAGGAGAAGGTGGCGATGACAATGCGAGCGCGCGAGTTCTACGTGTTTACGTCTACCACGGCAACGCGCGTCGACCCGACCCTGTCTTCCTCGCCAACCATGACGTCGTTATCACGACGTTCTCGACGCTCTCGTCCGAGTACTCCAAACAATCCCGCAGTACACAGTGCGACGAAGAGAGTGGAGATTCAGATATCGAGATCTTGGGCGACAATAGTGGGCCTCCGCCCAAAAAGGCCGGGAAGCGCAAGCGTGTGGGCAACGGGCAAGAGATAACCAGCGCTTTGCAAAGCGTCTTCTGGTTTCGGGTGGTTCTTGACGAGGCTCAGTAAGCAGTTTTTGTCTCATAATCGCCTCCAGAACGCGTGCTAATCGCATACGCAGCTCCATCAAGGAGATAAGCACCGTCGCCTGCCGCTCATCGTGCGATCTCATGGCGGATCGCCGGCTTTGCCTCACCGGTACACCCGTGCAGAACAAGTTGGACGACGTCTTTGCGCTGATCAAGTTCCTACGCCTCGATCCGCTCGACGACAAGAACGCGTGGACCGAATATATTGGTACACCGGTTAAATACGGGCAGCCGCTCGGCGTCGCTCGCCTCCGCACGATCATGAAGTGCATCACGCTTCGTCGGACAAAGGAGAGCAAGACCAGTTCGGGCGAGCGCATCCTCACGCTTCCCCCGAGGCGCGACGAGTTGCGTTATCTCAAATTTGACTCGGAAGAGCAGGCCGTGTACGATCGCTTCTTCAACGAGAGTAAGGCCGAGTTCCGCAAGCTCTCGAACAAGAACGAGGTCATGAAGAACTATGTCGGTATTTTGCAAAAGATTCTGCGCCTACGTCAAATCTGCGACCATGTCGACCTCGTCAAGGGCAAGGGTCTCTTCAGCGAACAAGACACGTTCTACGAGGAGACCATCACTGCTATCGTCAATGAAGGTATCACACTTCCTCGGGCGGCGGTCGTATTCAGCCTCCTCCGCGAGGGTGCGTCGGCGCAGTGCGCCGAGTGCGGTTCTGAGCTCGCGCCTACGACGGATGATCTTGACGCTCCAACTGAGAGCGGGCCCGCGGCGGCGTCCAGTTCGAAGCGTACGTCGAAGAAGCCGAAGATGACGCCGTCGCGTGGTCCGACGCGCGCCTCTAGCCCGACGGGTGGCGTACAGCCAGTCCTCACGCGATGCCAGCATCTATTCTGCATATGCTGTTACCGTCGGTCGTACGACTCCCAGTGGCCTCACTGCGCGCCAGATCTCGCGCGTCCTTGCTCAGTCTGCCAGGCATACCTTCGTCCCGTGGACGCGATTGTCGTCGATCGGAACTGCGTACCCGAACAGATGCTTACCCAGCCCACTGAGCCTACGCCTGCTGCACCGACTACGAAGAAACGCGGGAAGAGGGACAAGGCCACGAAGCAGGCTGCGATGCGGGATTTCCAACCAAGCACGAAGGTCAAGGCGCTGATGAACGATTTGCTGGAGTTCTCGCGTGCGAACCCCCACTCGAGCAACTATGCGCCCGACGCGCTTGAGGTGCAGATGGTGGATAGTGATGGAAATGCGTCGGAAGGAATCATCAAGACGGTTGTCTTGTACGTACAGCTTGACTCCTGGGCGGTTATGGGCTTGCACTGATGCAATATAGCTCTCAATGGACCAGCATGCTGGACAAGGTCGAGGACGCGCTCGAAGCCATGAACATCAAGTATGATCGTCTTGATGGCACCATGAAGCGCGAGGACCGTTCTCGCGCGATGGACGCGCTCAAGAATGACCCGGCCTGTGAAGTGTTGCTAGTGAGCTTGAAAGCGGGCGGTGTGGGCCTCAACCTGACTGCTGCGCAACGTGTCTACCTCATGGACCCATACTGGTATGTGAAATCGCTCGATTGGATATTCTCGTTCCTCATGCAAGCATCAGGAACCCCGCCGTTGAGAATCAGGCCGTAGATCGTATTCACCGCCTCGGGCAGACACGACCGGTCGTCACGGTCAAGCTCATCATCGAGAAGTCTATCGAAGCTCGTCTTCTGGATGTACAGAAGAAGAAGACGGACCTCGCAAACCTTACTCTGGGCGCAAAGCAGCTCACCAAGGAGCAGCTCATGCAACGGCGCCTCGAAGAGCTTACGCAGCTCTTCAACTAATCCCCTCACTGTCCCGCCGTCCGTACAGTTTCGTAGTACTTATTCGTGCTTATGCCTCTCTTCTATCAACTGCTCCTGGGCCGCTTTTGTGCTATCTTGCCTCGGTTCTGCCATCGTTGTCATTCCCCATCACTGCTGCTACCTTCTCTACATGTATGTACTTCTATCGCCGTCTCGCACCATCTGCCGTTCCAAGAGGCCGCCGCGCGCGAGCCGCGGAGGTTTCGTCTCATAGATTGCTCGCATCGCTTACCAGTACCGCTTTATATTGCCTTCCTATTTTCTTCCTTAACTACTCTTGCTCGTTGACGTTGATCGTGGAGTACATATCGATTGTCTGGCCGACAGCGAGTGCGTGGAATTTGCCTTAGTACATACTTTCAACGGACCTCGAGCTTCATACGCCGATTTATATGTGGATGCCGCGCTATTGGCGTTATTGAGAGCTGTTTTGGCTTCGAGCCTGAAGAACCGGCGGTTGCCGAGCGCAGATCTGGAGTGCGCACGCGTCGACAAACGCCTACTATTGTAGGTCATGTGATCGTGTTTTCTGCGCGTTCGAACTCTCCCGAGTGGTTCTTTTCTTCTGCCGCCCACCATCGGACAAGGGGGAGATTATTGCTGACGTTTTTTTCACGCTGCTATGCGCAATCTCTTGCTTATCATTCTTGAAATCAATCGAACCGCGTCGAGCTTCTCCTTCACTTCCAATGTGACTGGAGTGGAGTTGGATGTATTTCGCCATAATCTCACTATGTGGTCGCAGGCGCGGGAAGTCAGTACTTAATCAGTGGTTCTTACGTCTGGGCGCATGCGGTGCTTGAGCAAGCACTCTCTTGCCGAAATTGCCCTGGTGATCTGATGACAATCTTTAGTCAAACCGCCATCGTCAGCGCGTATAAGTCCTCCTCCCAGTAATGATCGTATGGCGGCCATGCTACCTGGTCACTATATAATCCTCGAGCTTGCAATGGACGAGATCAACCACCATCGACACCAAGTTACCGTCTGTGCATCGTTGGCTTCATGCTTAAAACATACCTCTCCGCGCTCTCGGCGTTCACTCTGCTCGATGGCGTGGCTGCTCGTTGTCGTTCGCAGCCGGGTCAGCCCGGCTTCCCTACGAGAGAGGACTGGGGAGCGCTGAACACGACAGTGGAAGGTCGATTACTCACGGTAGTTCCCTCCGCTAAAGCCTGCGCGGAGATCGCTTGCACACCAGCGCAGTGGTCGAGTGCGGTGTTTCGCAATACTCTACCAGGACAGATAAACGCCGTCAGTCTCTTTTTCCTGGAAGTCTACCCCATTACGCTTACATATTTGTGCTGCCAGTACAATTGGGAGCAGGTACATCGTGCACTCGTCTTTCCTCACTCGCTCTGACATATTAGACAGAATTACACGTCAAATCCCGCTGAACTATGTCTCTACAACAACACTGCTTCATGCACACAGGGTGATGTTCCTCTTTACGCAATCAATGCTACAGCTCCGGAGCACCTTCAGGTATGCTCTCTCTTTACCAAATGCATGAGTCAGTATACTCAAGCGTGCGCTGCGATTGCTCTCAGGCAGGCATTGCATTTGCTTCTCAACACGATCTACGGGTAGCCGTCAAATCCTCGGGACACGACTATCTCGGGCGGTCAACAGCTCGCAACTCTCTTCTCCTTTGGACGCAGTACTTTCAGAATATAGAGTTCAACGAATCTTTCACTGTTGGCGGGGATGACATGGGCAGTGCCGTCACAGTCGGGAGCGGCGTGGGACTGCGAGTCATACGTGGGACTGCGAGTCATATACGATGCCGCCAAAGAAGTCAACAAGATGGTGGTGGGCGGCTCTGCTGCCACTGTCAGTGCCGGGGGAGGTTACACACAGGGTGCCGGCCATTCCGTGTTTAGCCCTGCCTACGGTCTAGCCGCCGATAACACGCTGCGCAAGTACAGCCGTGACGCTCTTGGATGACTTCGGCTGACGATTGACTCCAGAATACAAGATTGTCCTTGCCAATGGATCTTTCGTGGCCGCCAACGATGTGTCGAATCCGGACTGTAAGTATCATTCATCTGAACCTGGCATTGTTACTTGATGTCACACTTCACGTTTAGTGTTCTGGGCTCTTCGCGGTGGTGGTGCCGGTAGTTGGGGCGTTATTACATCTATCACCATGAGGACACACCCCATCTTCTCGGCGACGCTACACTCCGCGAACATTACCTTCAACAGCACAAGTCAAGCCGCCGCAGCGATGGAGATCCACGCAAGACACTTATCTGACTACGACTCCTTCCGCGCCGGACAATACTTCAGCTTATACAATCTCGGTGCAGCCGGCGGGATTCAACTCCAGATGCGCACCTATTTTCCCAATGTCTCTAACGACAGCGCGCAAGCGGCTATCGCGCCTTTCATCGCAGACGTCGAGGCGATTGGGGCTTCCGTCGTCAGTCAAACAGCGATAACTGCGTTAGCCAACGATCTTGTCGCTAGAGCCGATGATGATGGTGGTGTCAACCTCGTATTGGCTTCGCGGTTGATTCCGGAGACCCAGTATGAGCAGAATCCCTCAGCGATCGGTGCGGCCTACAAGGCTCTACTTGACCAAGGCGTTCTCGGGCATGTCGTTCATCGTTGTAAATCCTGTAGCGTTGTCTAATGCTGACGTCTATCTACAGTATCCTTGGAAATCTTGTAGCTGGCGGTGAGCAATGGATCTCCACAACGCGTCAAATGTGCATCTCACAGCTTTCAGGTCAAGTCGCAGAGAATGCAAACATCACTTCTGCGATTCACCCCAAATGGCGCACCGCAAAAACTCACGTAAGCTTCTGTGTAGGTGACCTCGCGTTCGTGGCCGCTCACGATGTTGATAGATCATGATGGTTACTACCTGGGATGATACTGCGTTGCCCAGTGATGTCGTAGCGCTACAAGAGCGTTTTTACTCGCAGAACGTTCCCATTCTCGCCGCGGCCACCGGAGAGGAGGACAGCGGCTCGTACTCGAATGAGGCTAGCGTCCTGGAAACGGACTTCAAGGCTACTTTTTTCGGGCCCAACTACGATCGGTTGCTCTCTATCAAGGCGCAATACGATCCCAAGGACCTATTCGTTGTACGCGCCGGAGTTGGCAGCGAGCGATGGGATTCCTCTGGCATGTGCACGTTGTAGTAGGCTTCGCGATCGGTTGTTGCCAAAATTTCATGTTATACACGTAATACACCACTGTCTGTTTGGTGTACTCCAGCCACACTGGGCCCGCATGATAGGTTATCGGCATGCGGGCCGGCAACATGTTATTGTAACCGCGAGGCTCGCAAGGCACGTCGGATAAAGTGGTTTGTCCTGAAGCTGACGTCAGGCGATGCTGTTGCTGTCGCCGAGACGAACATAGTAGGTCAACGGGGGGACGCGCAGCAGCTTGCCCTCTGACCACGACCACGATCTGCTACCGGCATACATATACGCGCACACCCTACTCTATACACAAACCCCATCTATACCCATAGCACGACTGGCGATCTGAGATGCATCCGTTCGGAGGATCCCCGCGCTGTCCGCGATGCGAGAAGGCTGTTTATGCCGCTGAACAGGTGCGATATACTCGATACAAGACAAGCTCAGAAACACACATTGCATTTAGGTCATGGGCCCTGGTAGGAAGGTATGCCCTTATCAATAATGAGCTTCTGGACTTCTTCTGAGATGTGTGGCGACGTATCTAGCTCTACCACAAGGTGCGTGGGTGATCATGGGCCACAACGTCCTGCAAGCTCACATCGGCCTCCACTCAGAGCTGTTTGACGTGCAAGGAATGCAACAAGCGCTTGGACTCGTACAGTCTCGTAGAACACGAAGAGGAGGTGAGTGTTGACTCGTATATCTGCTATCGTATGTATTGCTGACTCGTTGCACAGCCATACTGGTAAGCACGCCGCCCCCTCCACCCCGATTATCCTTGCCGGTAGCCTGATGTCCGTGCCTGCAGCAAGAACTGCCATCGCAAGCTGTTTGGGAATCGCGATCTCCGTCAGCAGAATCTGCCATACCGGCCTGCCTCGCCGGAACGTGTCGGTGCCAATGGGTCGCCTTTCACAGGCGGTTTCAACGGAGCGCCACTTAGTCCAACACGCACCGGAGGGTTTGGTGCGGCCCCGTCGTCGCCTGTGCGAGCCAATTATACAGGCGGCGGGCGTGTATTCGGGACGGTGGGCACAGGGCGGGCATCGCCCGCGGCCGCGGCTTTGTTGCGGCCGACGCGGGCACTCAGCCCAACGCGCACGACGTTCACCGGCGGGATGGACGCTTCGAGTTTGGGCGGAAGCTTCGACTCTGTTCCAGAGGAGGGCACACCTGCCGCCGACCCGGACAAATCGAAGGAGCCAACAACTGCGGGAGATGAAACAGAGGAGGCTGAGGTTGAGAAGACTCTCCGGCTTCCCCTTGTCGCTCCTGGCACCCCCACGCATACTGGATTTGGGCGGAACGGGATGCCTCGTACTGGCCAGCTTGTGCCTAGCAGCCCTACGAAAGTGCGCGCGCCAGACTGGGACGATGACGACTCGGCCGGCGTATCTGTATCTGCTTCGACGCCCGTCGCCACTGCCGCCGCCGCTACGCCTCCTCCGTCTACATCTGCGCCCGCACTACCGCCTCGCGCAGGTGCAGCAGCCACGGTCGGCCGCCGTCCACTTCCGCTCACACAAACGCCTACCGGCGCAGGAGTGCGATATCCTTCGCCCTTGAACCAGACGCCCACGGGCAACCGCTTTGTCGGTGGGAGCTCGCCGATATGCCCGCGGTGTCAGAAGGCGGTGTTTTTCGCTGAGCAGGTCAAGGCTGTTGGGAGTACTTGGCACAAGGCATGCTTGAGGTGTATGGAGTGTAACACTACTCTCGATTCGAAGCGCTTGACAGAAAAGGAAGGAACACCGTTTTGCCATCGGTGCTACAACAAGGTACGTGTGGTGACCATCATGCCCCCCAAAACGCAATACTGAGTGGCGTCATAGCTTCATGGTCCCGCCGGAAATGGGTACGCGTTGCTGGGGAAGGCGGGTGGCTGAGGTCTTTGTTACTGCGGTATTTTATCCGCGATCTTGATTTCCGCGTACTATATACACATCGTTATAATGCTAGCTCTTCGAATATGCTAGTCATATGATAGTTCTCTTGGATCAAAGTATCTGGCCACGCGTAAACGTTGTGAGTGGCCGACTCCGGCATACCATCCGGTGTTGATGTGACCTGGGCGTCTATAGCCGCATGTACACCGTCATCGACGCTTGCGGCGAGATATAGGGGCACTGGGCGACGGGCACGTGAGCGTGTTTTGATTGCAGAGCTGAAGTGACGAGGACGCGACGCGTCTTGTGCTTGACCACAACCAGCTGGAAGCGTCGCGATGAGCTCTGACTATGAGTTCGACGATCTTGACCCGGAAACTCTGACCCAACTGGACTATTTAGAGTCCACTCAGCAACTCACTGCTTCGACCGTCATCTTACCGCCGCCGCCGCCGCCTGCCGCACCACACGCGAATCCTGCTCCCGCGCCCAGTAAATTCCAACCAGCGCGCTCAGTATCCACACCGACCAATATCCTTGCCTCCACATCTCGCACCACTGCCGCACCTGCTGGACCTCCCGCTCAGGAACAGCCCGCACAACCGACGTTTCCTGTCCCACCCGCCGCGGCAGATTCGGATGACTACGACGCGTTCTTTGACGCCGATGAGTCAACTGACTTTACGCGCTTGGACGCCATGGTGGAGGACGTGCTTGCTGGCCGCGGTGTAGAGCCTGAAGTCCAGAACCAGCGCGCCTTTGCACGCGTACACTCGTTCGGCGGAGGCGGCGCTGGGCGGCAAACCACACTCGATGGCGGACTCGTCCCTGAGAAACCGCCATCACGATCCAGCGTGGCCACGCACGGCTCTGCTCACGGAGGTCTGCATCGTGTGCAAAGTGCTCCAGTGGAGATGGCTCGCAATCGCAAGACGAAGAAGTGGGATCACACTGCGTTCTCGAAGACAGGGAAGAGGAAGGGTTCAAAGGCTAAGGGCCGTGGTAGAGGAGGTGACGACGAGGACGAACAAGAGGAGATCGAGTTTGAGCAGTTTCCTGCCCCGTTCATCAATCCTAGTGCGTGTGCCTCGAAACCCCTCTCAAGACTTACTGACAATCTTTCTAGCTGGGTGAGGTCTCGCCAGGCTACTCTGCTGACACAGGATGCTGATTATATATTCTTCCCTGGCCATATTTTGTGTAGACCGGTGAGTTACATCATACCTATTTTAGTGCTTCCGACGCTGACTGTACGTTATAGCCACCGCCCATGAAGCTCAAGCCAGACCCCCTGGAGATCAAGAAATGGTGGTACCCGACCAATGTGTCAAAGCGTGATTATCAATTCAACATCTCACGACATTGTCTATTCGAGAACACACTTGTTGCTTTACCAACGGGTCTGGGAAAGACCTTCATAGCCGGAGTCGTCATGCTCAACTGTACAGTTCTATCAAGTTGGATGGACGAATGCGCCTGACACCAATTCTGTAGATTATAAGTGGTTTCCTGAAGGCAAAGTTATCTTCGTGGCTCCGACCAAGCCACTTGTATCCCAACAGATCGATGCCTGTCATAAGACCTGCGGCATACCAGGACGTGACGCCATCGAGCTTACAGGTGAAGTTAAGACTGTCAACCGCAGCGAAGCTGTATGCCCTGATTCACTCGTTCTTTCAACTTGAACTGACGGGCGCATCATAGTGGCAGAAGAAGCGTGTCTTCTATATGACGCCGCAAACGCTGTTTAACGACCTAAAGAACGGGAACTGCGACCCCCAGGAAATAGTGTTGCTCGTCATCGGTGGGCTTGCATAAGCACTTCCCCGCCCTCGATACTCAGCTTACAATATTGAAGATGAGGCCCACAGAGCGACAGGCGAATACGCATATGCCACTGTCGTGCGCCATCTCATGGCCAAGAATCCACACTTTCGCGTCCTCGCGCTTTCCGCGACCCCAGGCGGCACGATCGAGGCCGTGCAAAATGTTATCGACGCGTTACACATCAGCCACATCGAGTGTCGTCACGAGGAGAACCTCGACATCGCTCGTTACATGAAGACCAAGGTAACTCTATGACACCTGATTAACCGTGCGCCTTGTCTGAACTGCCGTCTATAGGACGTCAAGCTCCATCTGGTCGAGATGAATGAAGGTGCAGCTAAGATTCGCGACCTTCTAGGTCGTGCCATGGTGGTGCGTCTCTTGAGTATGAAGCCGGTGTTATCTCGCGCCGACTCTGACCTGTGCTTTCGTCTAGCCTCTGATTGCTGACGTTCAGAGAAGCGGTCTTTGCCGCGGCAATCCTGATCCTGCCGCGTTCTCCGCATTCCGCGCCCAATCTGCCATGGGGGAGATAGGCGCGCGACCGCCTAGCGAGAGGCGTAACCTTGCCTCCAAGTTTCCTGTGCTGTCGAAACTTGGCACATTGGCGCGCGCGATGGGCTATCTGGTGGGTGTGCCAAAGTTCTCACGCTCCCTGGCAACCAATCGAGAGATTCTTAGCTTGAGGGCACGGTCGGCATGTGCTACGAGTCGCTGAAAGAGAACATGGCGAAGACGAATAAGGACGGCAAACCCGGTTCGCTGAGTAAAGACCCGAACGCGCAAGCCGTGATGCAAGAGCTTGAACGACAAGCAGTGCAAGGCTTCGCAGTGCACCCCAAGATGGTCGAGCTCAAGAACATCCTCCTGCAATACTTCGCGGCGAACATCCACGATCCCGACGCACCGGAGGGCGCTCCGAATGCGCCAGAACGCACGTGCGCGATGGTCTTTACGAACAACCGTGCTGCAGTGGAAGAGATCGTCGACTATTTGAAGCAGGAGCAACCTATGCTGCGTCCTACGCCCTTCATCGGACAGGGAACCGACAAGAAGGGGAAGAAGGGACTCGCCCAGCGAGAACAACTCGAAGTAGACGTGGTTCACATGTGTATATGAATAAGGCACTAACTAGAAGCGCAGATCATCCAGCGCTTCAAGAAAGGCGAGTTCAACGTGATGGTTTCCACGTCCATCGGTGAAGAAGGCCTTGATATCGGCGAGGTTGATTTAGTCGTCTGCTACGAATCACCGAAGACCCCTGTCCGTATGGTACGTGCAATGCTTATATATGCCACTTTATTGGCAGCTTGCTGATGAACTCATCAGTTACAACGAGTCGGGCGCACCGGCCGTAAGCGGCAAGGCTACGTTCACGTCCTTCTCTCCGTCGGACGTGAAGAGAAAAACTGGGACCAGGCGAAAGACAAGTATACCGAGCTCCAGCAGATCATCATGCGTGGACAAGAGCTTGAATTCTACGCCGACGTCGAGCGCTTGATACCAGAACACGTCAAGCCCGAGTGTGTCGAGCAAGTCATGCTCATCGAGGAATACGATCGCGAGGCCACGATCAGAGAACGTCTTAAACCCCCAGCAGCACCCAAGGGTACGAAGCGGAAGCGCGGCGATGATGTCCCTGCCGGTGCTGTCAACGGCTTCGTGTCGGCAAGTGCGCTCCGACCGAAGGACGCATCCGTAGCAGACATGCTCAAACAACAGAAGCCGAAGCGACGCAAGATGAAGGCTACCACATTCAACGAAGAGCCTCCAGTGGATGGTGAAACGGACGATGAGATTGAGGCGGGACTATCGGCACCACCACGACACCCTCGCTCTCAATCATTGCCGGAGAAGTCGTCGACAAAGAAGATCAGGGCCAAAGGACAGCGCAAGATCAAGGCAAAGCGAGTTATGGACGCTAGAAAGCTCACCGCTAGCCAGCTCGCGAAGCAAGGTGCCGACGACTCCGACGACGACGAGATAGAGCGCGGTCTCTCATCTAGACCTCGTCGATCACCGACTCGTTCTGCATCGCCAGGTGACGGGCCGTCATCTTCTCTGTTACATGAGGTACCCCTGCCAGAGGCGCGTGGCAGTGCATCAGACGAAGCTGTTTTGGATCTCTGTACGACAGATGACGAAGAGGAGAAAGAACGCGAGCCACTCTTTCTGCCATCTTCGGATCCGTTATCCGCTAGCGTTTCTCGTACATTGGAGCTTTCACCGACGCTCAAGCGCTCACGATCAGCACAACCCTCGTCTCCTGCACGTGGGCCTTCTCCGCGACAAGATAAGCGGAACCTTGCCTGGTTACTGGGTTCCGACGACGAGAATTCGGATAGTGAGCGACCAGATAAAGCCTCGCGCGAAATACTCCCGCCTTCTCGCCCGCTTGTAAGATCGACGTTGGATGCCATCGAGATCTCAGACTCGGAAATTGAGGTTACCATGGACGCCCTGAAGCCCCGTACGCCTTCATCGTCGCCGGTCGTCGTAGTATCGCCAGCTCAGCCCGTCGCCGGCCCGTCACGCCCGCGCAGAGATTTCGCCGATATGCCCCCACCAGTCATGCTTCCCTCACGCTTTGGCGGATTTTCGCGCCCATCCTTGAACAAGACCCAGCCTGCTTCACAAGAACCGTTCTTCTCTGTCGGACCCCGAAAGAAACGAGTGCGACCGATGGAGCAGCACGACTCCCTATCCTCGCCGTCAGTTGATGGTTCACCGGCGTTGAAGCGCCTGCAGCGCGGCCCCCGCCCACTGGCACCCGGCCCACTATCGTCTTCGCCCGTAGCGCAACGGCCAGCGAAGAAGCCGAAGAAGATCCGAGTATATGATACGGCCGCTGTCGGCAAACGTAATCAGTTTCTGGACGTCGAGGCGGGTCACTCTGGGGAAGAGCTCTCTGCTGGCTCGGACGACGGCGGCGATCCCGAGCTATCGAGCGAGGGCGACAACAGCTTCCTCGCGGAACCGGGCGGAACGCAAATGTCCCCGTCGTACGACCAAAATGCAGTGTACAGACAGAGTCTGCTCTCGCAGGCCCCTCAGGGATGGGGTCCTCGGTTCGGCAATGGACCTGTACGACGAGGTGCCGTGCCATATGCAGCACGAGAGGGTGCCCGGAGGGCGGCAATGCTTTCTTCGGACGGCGAGCGAGACTCTGAACCGGATGACTATGAGATGGGGAGCTTCGTTGTGGATGACGAGGCTGAGGTATTCTGACATTACATTTCTTGCATCTCGCATACAATATTCGCTGGGGATCTACATTGCAATCATATCCAGTGACACGTGAGACGGTCCTTATCCACGTGACGGCGTGTAACTCTTCGGCGTCGACGTCTGCAACGCGCAACGGCCTGGTGCTCACGCTCAGTAGCGAATCACTTCAGGCAGCGACGATTTTCTCGAGCAACTCGACAGCCTGTTTCACGTCATCTTCAAGCTTAGGGCGAGCCCATACCGATTGACCCGACAGCCAGAACTCCGTCTTCAATTCCTCCACGGTCATAGTCGCGTTGCTCATAAGCTTCCCTGCCGTCCTCGAAGCTTCCTGGAAGGCCGTTGCGATAGGCTGACGTATGTCAGAGTATACATTGAGTGCCTTATGGACGTTGTCGCGTGTAATCCGAGGATTCATCAAGAGAGCTGAGAGAACATGTGCGTCCTGCGGCTTAAGTCAGGGCGCGATCCTCTCTTTCCCAAGATGAGAGAACGCCCACCTCCATGGCTTGCCCGGCACCAGCCCCTTGGAACGGAGTCATCGCATGGGCCTTCAATAGCTTTGAGTGGTTCTTCAGAGAACAGATGATGAGATCGTCTCACCGCATCGCCGAGCAAAGTCACTCGACCTGCAGACCAACTCTCGAGTGGTCCCACAACGTTGATTACCCATTTCTTGGTGTTCAGACCCTTAAATCCCTGGCATATATGGCATTCAGGTGAACTGATGAAGCGCTGGAGAATCATCGATACTCACCGTGATGACGTCCCGCGGTTCCTGCGCCCAGTTGTCAAGGACAGAGACTAGCTCATCGCCCTTGACCTGTTCGACCCATGGTTGCGGATGCGGCTGATCCTCTTTTGAGTAATCAACTGTGTATAGTGCTGTATTGAGTTTGTTCCCTCGAGACATGGGGTAGGTAACAAGGGATACTCCACCGCCAGTATACTGCAACACTGTGATGAGACATCCTTCTTCTTTGGAGTATACATAACCAGACTTACGATCCTGGCGGCTGATGCCCAAACTGGACTATCCGCTGGCAACGCAGACTTCTCCTTGGGAACGACTGTCCGGTATGAGGTGACGCCGCTGAAGCGAGGTTCAATGCTTTCACGTAGCGCTGCAGCTTTTCCTTGGTCCTGGGCACTCTGAGCCAATGTCTCGAGCAGGGCAGCTCTCACAGCGCTCTTGACACCGTCGGCGCCGACTAGAACATCGCAGGTAGCGGATGAACCGTCCGCAAAGTCCAGCCGGACAGTCGAATTATCATCGTGTGGATCCGAGTATGAGACAAGGGCTTTCTTATTGTGCACCCCAATGTACTTCGGGATACGACGGAAGAGGATGTTGTGGAAGTCAGCGCGATGCAGCATGGATGTGTCTGGCGAGAACATGAGTACGTGTAATAGCCATGTAGTATGACCGCGTACCATCCGACTCTCCCTCTACGATCGGTTGCACTTCAGACGTGTCGGCTTTGTTGATGGAAAACTTTGACCCTGTTCTAAGTACTAAGCGGGAGCGTTGGCACTTCCCTGATTCGCAATAGACTTCTACCCTTGGATCTTGCACTTAGAGAGACGACTTCTTCAGCCAGACCTAGCTCGGACAAGAATGGTTTGATCCGAGAGCCGATTGAAATCCCGGCGCCAACTTCGGGGGAAAAGTCGGCCGCTTTCTCATAAACATCCACTGCGATCTCTTTCGTATGCGAAAGAGCACATGCCAAAGTGAGGCCACCGATACCGCCGCCGCTATGTCAGCGTCAGTGGTACGGAGAGATGTATCGATGATGTGATTATTTACCAGATAGCGACTCGAAGCTTAGGAACACCGACGGCGAGTAAAGACATCGGAGAAAAACTCTAGAGTTGATAGTTGGATTATAGAGAGTGAAGTTCATCGACGACCTTCATTTATACCGTTGCCTGATAGCAATTGTAAACTGGGACCACGGCTGTGTTCATGTGCGGAGATTGAAGCCGATCCTGAACGTCAGCTCGGCAGACTTCAGGCGGTGCATGCATTCGAACCCGGGTCATACAGTACCTGCCGGCGGGCAGCGTCACCCTTCGAAGTCCAAAGGAATGAATGGTCAGGAGCATCGTAGACCTAACAAACCAGGGGTTCCTTGATGAAGCTCATAAGTACCATTGCAGTCGCGTGCCGGCCGCCGGCGTCACCTCCATCGCGTTCAGCGTGAAGACTCGGGATAAAGGTTCTTCCCCTTGCAGAATGCACCGCAGGCGAAGATATGTGCACGGTCAGCACAATCCGACGGTATAAGACGTCGGTTTGACAGTCATATACGGAACGAGGGACAGTATCTGAACACCACGGCGGGGTTTCGCTCAAGTTTCGTCTCTGTGGCACCCTCATTTAGAATACATACATGGTGGTGGCGGCACTAACCGAGAGGATGATCTACGCCAGTAAACTGTCTACGAGAAGGTGAGACCTCAAGTTGAGAACACCTAGTGCATACTGTCCTCGAATGTATGCACAGCGCGTCGGGCATTCATATCAGGACTATCTGAGATGTCCCAAACCCTTTCGATGATCGCCGCCATCTCGGCGCCCACTTGATGTGATGGAATGGTAGGGTCGCTAATAAGCTGCCCATTTCGACGCGAAGCATTGAAGAAGTCCAGCGCGACGGGCCTGCGGACATCGGCGTACACGCGAAGGGCTCGTTGAACTGTGGCGCGGGTAGTGCGTGGATGAGCGAGGAGAGCCGATAGTACTTGTCCATCCTAGCCCATTGTTAGAGGGTATATTGTTATGATGGAGAACGTACATGCCTCGATAGCTTGCACGGCGCCTGCGCCTTGGAAGGGTGTCATCGCATGAGCCTTATTGGTGTAAGATTCAGTGCCACTGCTATTGACAATAGCGACCAACCGCATCCCCAAGTAAAGTCACTCGACCATGGGACCAGTCGAATGAAGGCTGCACGACATTGATGATCCACTTCTTTACCTCAAGACCATCGAGACACTGAGTGTTCGCAGATGTCAGATCGAATTGGGAAGGGGTGTATGAAGGAAATGCTCAACGGCGACTATATGGCGCAGCTCCGGCGCCCAACCGTCGACAAGAGGCGCGAGCTCCTCTCCCTCGGCCAAAGAGACCCATGGCTGCGGGTACAGCGAACCCTCCAGAGAGTAATCGAAGTTCATGATGGCAACATTCAAAAAGCGACCTTGAGAGATGGGGTACGTGACAATCGCCTGCAGAACATGCCCGTCAACATATCAATCAGCTTCCAATTGAACGAAGAGCCCACCGTGTGATTACCGGCGTACTGTCAAGAGCATAGTCAGTAGACAGTTATGGACATGGATAGATGTCTAACCAGATTCCCAGTGACCAAGACAGGGCTTTCCGGAGACAGCCCGGACAGTTTTTCTCTCGGTATGATGGCACGAAACGTCATGGCCCCGCTGAAGCGCGGAGGGATACGTTCACGAAGTGATTCACGCTGCCCCTCGTCCTCTGGCAACCGGCTAGCTAGCCCCTCTAACATGGTTGCTCGTACAACACTCTTGACGCCGTCTGCGCCGATCAGGACATCACATGTAGCTTCGGTACCGTCTGCAAAGACAAGACGGATCGGCGTATCCGCATCCAGAGGGTCGAGATACGAGACGAGACGCTTGTTGGTGTGCGTTGCAACACGATTTGGTAGACGCCGGAAGCAGATACCATGGAGTTCAGCACGATGCATTGTTATCATTCCTGGAAGCTGAGTCAAAAATGATGAGCACCTGACGATTGTGGAGGGCAAATACCTTGTTGAGGGATGTCGGTAACAGTCTCGAGCTTCCCTCTATCCGCTCTATAGAACCTCAGACCAGACCCTGCCCGTTACTATGTCAGTACATCATTGTACTTATCATGATGTTTGCAGACCGGATTCGTTGCGAGAGCTGATCGCATTGATATCTTCCGCGAGCCCAAGCTCGGTGAGAAAAGGCATCGTACGCTTTCTGAGAGTGATACCCGCTCCAATCTCACTGAATGCTGCGGCACCCTCGTACACATCGATCGCGATGTCTTTCCCACGCGCGAGAGCGTGAGCGAGCATCAGACCACCGATACCACCGCCGCTAGAAGTGTATCATTCAGTAGCCA